TCCAAAGAGCCACACTTTCTCACATTCATGGTCTGGGGTCTTCCCCTTCTGATGGGGGATGTTCTTTTGTATATATGTTTCTCTTATTGGTTGATGAATAAAACACTGATTGGCCAGTATTGGGACAGGAAATGTAGGCGGGGCTACGAGATGAGAAGAATTCTGGAGAGAGGAGGCAGAGAGAAGCCACCAGGCAGAGCAGAGATGCCATGCTGCAGGAGTAACATGTCGGATTATGTGTAAGCCACAGCCTTGTGATAATGCATACTTTAATAAAAATGGGTTAATAATTAAGAGCTAGTCAATAAAAAGCCGGAGCCATTGGGCAGACAGTTTAAATTAATATGCTTCTGTGTGCTTATTTGGGACTAATTGGCTGAGGGACCAGGCTGAAAAGAAACTCCAACTACACCCTTCCACACTAATTTGGGGCTGGCCTTCTAACTTGCTTTAACAAACAGCGCCGAAGGGAAACAGCACAGGTTCCAGGCCCAGTTTTTGAGATGCCTGGCAGTTCTACTTTTGTACACTCTGAGCCACTATGTAAAAAGTTCAGCTGCCCAGATAGAAAGGCCATGTGGAGTCAAGAGGTCCTGAGACTGCATGAGGAAGATGCCCAGCCTTTCAATTGCCCTGGCTGTCTTCATGACTTCTGTTCCAGCTGTCATCCAACTACAACCTCGTGAGAGACACCAAGTGAGACCAGCAGTATTGCCCAGCTGAGCCCCATCAGTTTACAGAACTAAAGGGAATAATGACTGTTTTAAGTCACCAAGATCTGGAGTGTTTGTTATGTTGCAATAAATAACTAAATGCCATTCTGTATCTTAATTGCCTACTGGCTTTGTTTGTCCTACTACATCACTTCCTCATTGAGGACAGGGTTCTGTTTTTATAATTTTTCTTTATTCTTGGGAATGTCATACATATATATATAATGAAATATGACTGTATACACTTATATACGCTCCACTTCCCTCTCCACCTTCCTCTGTTATCTCTCCAACACATCTCCTTCTCCACTCAAGTCTTCTTTCTCCTTTGATAAAGTCAAGTCAGTGCTGCCCATGTGCATGGATGTGAGGCCATCCCCTGGAGCATGAGAAACCCACCAGCAGCCACATCCTCAAAAAACAATGCTCCCTCTCCCAGAAGATGTCAATTGCCAACCTCAAATAAGGGGTGGGGCCTGGAGGGCACCTCTCTCAATTATATAGAGCTTAAGCTGGCTTGAATTTGTGCATGTAAACACAGCTGCCATGAGTTCATGAGTGTGACAGCCATGTCATGCCCTGAAGACAGCTATCACAGCATCCTCCTCATCCTCTTCCCCATCCTCTAGCTCATCTGTCTCCTCCTCGAAAATCTTCCCTATGCCTTGGGGGTTGGAAGATGATCGTTTAGGGCTGAGCCCTCAGTCACTTCTTGGCACTTGGATTGGTTATTTATCTCTGCACTGACTGCTGCCCACTGCTAAAACAACTCACTGTGTAAACTAGGCTGCCCTCAAACTCACGACAATCCTACCTCAGCCTCCTGGGATTATAGGCATGGGCCACTACACTAGATCACAACTATTTTTTTTTTAAAGTTGTTAAATACGCTAGGCATTCTCTAGCACTGAATAAACTCTCATAAACTTGATTAGTATAAATTTAAAATGTCTACAAAAATAAAAGACAACAACAGTATGTCTACAATACTCCCTGTTGTAAGAACAGAATAGCTTGTATACACATCACAAGAATGATTTACTAGGTACCTAGACAATAGGTTCTAAATGAAAACAGCTGGCCTTTGTAAAAGGATTGAATCAACTTGACTTTGGGCCATAATCCAAAAACAGACTGTGAGAGCAACAGAAGAAAATGGCTGATGGCTTTAGGCCTTGACATTTCTAGTAAAGGCCAAAGTCGATGTCAGTCCAACAGTGTTACTGTGGTTTGCATTAACAATTGAGTGGATGTGAGGATTGCAGCTACTTCCACACTTCTCACTCAAGTAGTCTCTTGATATTCTCAAGATTCCCCGGGGGGGGGGAATGTTCCTTCTTTCCCCTTCCTCCTTCTAGACAGTGCCTTACTAGAGATCTGATTGGGCCTGAACTCATGATCCACCAGCTTCAATCAACCAAGTGTTGGGATTACTGGTGTGTGCCACCACCCCTGGCCATAATGACATTTTGTGTATGGGAGCAGATACCTTATTCTCTCTTTCAGACCCCATCAACTAACTTGAAATAGGACAGAACCTCAATGAATGTACATGCAACAAACACATTTTTGCTCAAATCAGTTATCCCACGATAAAGGTCCGGTGATTCTGGCTGTGTGCAGTTAAGAGACATTGTGTAAACATATTCTGTGGGCTGAGAGTATGTGTTAAGTCCTATGTGGGACACAAAATGGGAAGACGCTACCCCTGCCCTGAGGGAACAACTGGAGAGAGTACACTTACGTAGATGAGACAATTAAATAATAGGACAACATATAATTACTGCTAAACTGTATAGTAAAACTTAAGCGCTACAGGGATTGGGGAAAGCAGAGAAGTGGTGAGGGCTCCACCAGTTGGGTGCTTCTTCGTTTTGGCCCTGAGATCTGGCTGAGCCTTGAGGAAGAAAGCTACAGACAGGCTGAGAGGAAGGAGAGGCCAGAACTCCCAGGAGGAACAAAGCCAAGCCAGCACACTTGTTTTATTTCAGACAGCACATGGACTACGAAAGATGGCTGTCTCGACTCCCCAAGCAGGAACATTTCTGAATAGTTCCCCACATTCAGGCTCCTGGACCTTCATATGCTTTCCTCTGCTTGCAATGAATGCCCTTTCCCCTTCTCCGCCTGAAAAACTTGTGTTTAAAGGCCCAACTCAAATGCAAACCACATGAATGAACCCTTCCATGATATATACCCTACCCACTGTTCACACTTCCATTGAAATATAATTTACAGCTCCTTGCTTACCTCCTTCACTACTATAATCAATACTGATTATATTTCTTGGGCTCTTTCTATGTATCAGGACCTATGCTAAACAATAATGTTGTTTAGAATCTCACAATCACATGAGGTATTGTTTTCCTCTATTTAACAGATAACAGGCTAAATGTGTTTAAGAACCCTTAAGCTGGGCGGTGGTGGAGCATGCCATTAGTCCCAGCACTTGGGAGGCAGAGGCAGGTGGATCTCTGTGGGTTTGAGGCCAGCCTAGTCTACGTGAGTTCTAGGAAAGCCAGGGCTACACAGAGAAACCCTGTCTTAAAAAACGAAAACCAAACCAAACCAAAAACAAAACACCTTGTAAAGATTACAAAGCTAGGAAATCAGAAAGCTGGTACTCACAGCAGTATATGTGGGACTAGAGCCCATCTGCTTTTTGTCAGTGCTAGAGACTGAACTTGGCCTTGTGTAGGTGGGCCTGGCCTCTGACACTGAACCGTAAGTTCAGCCCTACAGACTCTATTCTTTCTCTTTTGAGGCAAGGTCTCACTAAATAGCTCAGAATGGCCCAGAACTCATAGCTTGAATCTGTGATCCTCCTATCTGAGCCTCCTATGTCCCAGGCCTATCTCAGAGTCTACTCCTATTTATTTATTTGAGACTGGGTCTCATGTAGCCCATGCTGGCTTAGACCTCTGTAGCTGAGGATGCCCTTGAACCTCTGAGCCTCCTGCCTCCACTTCTGAAGCCTATGTCACCAGACCCTACTTCAATCTACTCTTAGTGTACTGGAGCCATGTATTTTTGGAGGCCACAAATGCTCTTTATCAATCTGTCTTCTCAGATCCTAGAATGGTGGCTGACATATGGCTTGAGATTGTTTAACAGATAAACATAACTTTCATACCACATGCCTGGGTCTAATCGTAGGGACACCCAGTACTCTTATCCCAGAGACTTCCACCCCCCTAAAAGTCACATATTTGGGGGAAGGAGTAAGTTTGAACACCTTTTACCCCCACATGGGACTGCAGAGTGGCAAAAGTGTACAAAAGTAACATTGGCCAAAACTGAACCAGAGGCCTCTGACTGAACAGGGCCTGCGAATCCTTACGTATTTTGAAAGGAGCAGCCACTCTAAAGCCTCAGCCTGCTGCACCAGGAAAAGGTAGTCAGGACTGCTGCCTCTGACCCTAAGCTCGCACAGGGGCCCAGACAACAGAATGTCAGGAGTGAGGGGACAGGGAAACAGGTCTACCTGTCTGTCACCTTCAGCAGCCTGAGTTCTCCTCATACTTTAGGAACCTTGACTCAGGCAAACCAGGATTCCTGGCTTAGAGGATGAGGAGAATTTCAGGCCTAGCCACTATGACGAGGGAGAACTGGAGATCGTATTAAAGATAACTTTAACATGGGCATAAGCCTGAGGCTTAGAAGGCAACACCAGTAAGTGTAGACTCCCCCAACAGGGAGTCACAGTTGTCTTCGTATTAGCCATATATATCTTTGGTGGTTAAGTTACACCTCATAAGGTTGCTAGGAACCACCCCTCTTCCCTCCCTTTTGTTAAGTGAATTTATGGGCTGGTTCTTTGGATGGAATTGTAATCTGATAAAAGTAAAATCAGATGCCACTAAGGTGGCACAAAGGGTTTAGTACATGTCCTCTGCCTGCAAACTGGGTTTCTGGTGAGATTACTGCAGAAGCAACTGCTTATGACTGAAAAGGGAGAAAAACGCCTTTAACAACTGTTAACTAGGCTGTGCTGGGATTCTTGCCCGGCCGCTGGCGAGGATTTCCTTTGCCGTTCAATCCTGCCTCAGAAAGTGTCCGGCCTCAATGTAAAGAGACAAAACCTGGCCAGAACCCGGGGGCAAACCCTGCCCTGGGTACTTCGGTCCACCAACCAGCCGCATACGGACCCGCGAACCTCCGCGGCTCCTGCGATGGCGACTGAGGACACCTCGGCCCTGGCACCGCATTACGTCCTAGCTGCTCTCACCTCGCCAGCGCCAAGCCCGCCCCATTCACCACTTCCTCCCGAGAGCACCATCCTTCCGGCAAAGCTCCTTGCTGATTGGCTGGCTGAAGAGTCGGCCGCTGAGGACTGCGCAGCGGCCGCGCTGGTCCCTATCCGGTCTTACGGCCTTGATCTCTCGGCTGCACGCTCTCTATGGTGCTGACCACGACATGTGGCGCCTGACAAGGCTCCTAGGGCGAGGTAAGGGTCATCTGCAAGGCCAATTCCTGCAGGCCATGGCCTCAGAACTGCAACGAGCCCCACTCCGCGGGAAGACAGCCAAAGCGGCAGTAGGTGGGGTTAGATATAGGGGGCGAGGCTCTATTCGAGGAGCCTGGAGCCCTTGGAATTAGAGACACGGTAGGGCAAAATGGGGAGAAGGTGGAGTGTGTATCCAAGGAGATGGGTGGAGCTCTAGAAGGGGCGGAGTCTAATAAAAAAAAGGCCAATGGAAAGAGAAGAAATTTGGAGACATGTGCTTAGTGTAGTTAGAATGTGTGATTATAGATCTATGGTTCTAGAACAGAAGTTGCCACTAATAGGCGAGTGTGGGAACTCAGCGAGAATTTTTTTTAAAGCAAACATACTCCATTCTGAGGGGTCTTGCCTTATTAGTTCGGGGGTGGTGGTACCTCGGGATCCCTACTAGGCTGAAGATTTCCGTTTGTACCCTGGTTTAAGAACCTCTGCAAGGGCTAGGGTCTTAGGCTCAGTGGTAGAGGGCTTGCCTAGAATGCTGGAGGTCCTGAGTTCCATCCCCAGCATTAGGAAAAACAAAAAACAAAACAACTGCACAGATAGTTGTCAGTGACTCCGGGGTTCCTGGGGTAAGGTGTCCTCACAGGCTAGAAGGAAGATTGTTGAGGCCATTTTTATTTCAGCCCATTGCTGTTAGTGTGCCTGATCTTTGTTGCTCCCACAGCTCTTCCCCGCCTTCTGGGACCTGGCTTCCGAGAGGTACCCAGGCCCACCAGTTCAGATGGGCCTCAGACAACCTTTACTACCCCTCTGCTTCCTAGACACAGCCTTGACAGGTGAGAGACTGACATGTCACATGTGGCCTCCTCCCATTTTGTACAGAACTTAATAGCCTCTAATTGTACCATTTAGGCCAGGCTCTTATGGTCCAAGGAAGAACAGAGACCCAAAGTGTGGTAGTTGGAAAGATGCCTTCCACTGGATGTCTGCTCATGTCTCCCCAAACACTCTGCGGGATGCCATCTCATGGGTAAGGCTTCCCCAGCTATGACCTGTACCTTCAGCGTAGATGAGAATGATCTTGTATGGGAGAACATCCTAGTCTTGAAACAAGGACAAGATCATATTCACATGGTGAGAGGCCTGCGACCCTGAGCATATTCATGGAAACATCCCCCTCCCTCCAGCCCCTGCCATGCATTTATTCTTCCCTTTTGATAGACATTTATTTAACATTTTTGAGCTAAGCACTAGGGACAGAGCAGAGAAAAGGACGACATTATTCTTGCCTTCATAGAGCTTAGCATAAATGATAATAAATAGCTTATAGTATAACTTACCCATATGAACTGTTATGCATACATTATCTTGTTTAATATTTACAAAAGTCTTGCAAGGGAAATTTAGCCTTCATTTTATACACAAGGACACTCAGGCTTTTAGACTGTCAATAATATACCTGAATTCACATGGCCTTTAAGTTGAAGAACCAGATTTTGCTGGCCTGACATTCAAGCTGTACCTACAATATGGTTGCTTCACCTGGTATATCTTGTAGAATTGCCTAATTCAGAGCCTAATGCATATTTTTTGCTCAGTAAATATTTGTTAAACCAATCTCTAAGATCTGGTTGGTGTGCATCACAAGCATTGGTTCATAGGGCAGAATCTTGACCCCACAGGCAGTGTTCCATGTAGAGGATCTAGCTCTACACTATTCTGAATGAAATGAACACATATATTACCTTTAGATCTGTCACATTCCAACCTGGTACTTCATGATTTGTAGACAAGCGACTTGACTCTTCTGAGCCTTGCTTTTTTTTGTTGGTGGTGGTTTTGTTTGTTTGTTTTTTGAGATAGTGTTCTGTGTAGCCCTGACTGTCCTGGAACTCCCTCTGTAGACGAGGCTGGTCTTACACTCAGAGATCAGAGTCTTCCACTGCCTCCTGAGTACTGGGATTAAAGGCATGAGCAGTCACTGCCCAGCCATTTTTTTTTTTTTTTGGTTGTTAAACCTGTAATTTGGTGTCTTCAGCAGAGCTGAACATGGGGTGTTTCCATGACGGTGACATGGCTGTCATGGTTCCTATGAACTGGAGGCAGATTATACCATAGAGAAGGAAACATTTTAACATTTTGTCAAAGATCTGAGCCCTAGGTCAGTATCACATCGATTCTTTTAGGGGCCTGAACCTAGATTCCAGAGGTCCTGTTGTCATCTCTAGGTTCTGCCATGCTACCTATGTGGAAGGGTCTGCACACAAACTATTCACCTTATTTTCCTAATGATGGTGCCTTGTCTTTCTTCTCCTTCAGGCTGAATCCCATTCATCATTCTAGTACTCTTTCCTCTCAGGCTCTTTGTAGCCCTCTGATTTGTTTTCTTCCTGATATTATGCATAATTGTTGGATCATTGGATTTGTTTCTCTGTGGGTTTGGGTTTTTTCTCTTTCAACAAAAGATGCAAATGTCACGAGGGCTCGGACACTATCACTTCGTGTTGCAGCAAAGAAGTATGGGTTGTCTCCAGGACAGGGAGATAGGGGTGAACAAGCAGCTCCTGGGGTAAGAGCTACCTCAATTGTTTGTGACATCTTTTCAGACTTCCACTTATACATGTGTGCTCTTGTGACTTGGTTGGGGACTCTGACTTGTCCCTGTATTTTAGGCTAAGCTCCATCTTACAGCATCTTTTTGCCTGCCTAGACCCTTTTATTCTGTTAACTTGCTGGCACATGCATTCAGCATGCATTTTTTCAGGCACCTACTCTCACTTAACACTGCCCTGGGCTCCAGGGACACCAGAATGTGCATGGTCCATGGGCCCTGCCTCTGCCATGCTTACAGACTAAAAAGGAGTGACAGACCCTAAGTGAATGATTGAAAAGGACTACTGAACACTAAAGGCCAGGCTCAAGTGCTGTGAAAGTACATGGTGTGGAGCTGCCCCAGTTAGTCAGGAAAAGCTCCCGGCAGATGATGATTGACAGGTGGGGGCTGTGTTCCTGACGTGCTGCTTTCTTTCCCAGGGCACTCTGGCCGTGCTGGCCCTGCACCTGGCGAGGCAAATCCACTTCCATGCACCCTTGGTAGCAGGACCTCAGCCAGCTGAGCGATGCTCTTGGCAGAGTTCCCTGTACCGCTTCCTCTCCTCTTCCTGGCGGCACCCACACTCCTGTGAGTTCTCCATCCTCAAGGGGCAACTGGGTCAGGCTGGGAGTTTCTCTGGGCCAGGAAGTATCTCTGGCCACACCTCAGGAAAAGAGCCATCAGCAGCTCCTGCCTTTCCTCTCTGAAGTCAGGGGAAGAGGAGTGTGGGGAAGTGCTGGCCACAGTGGGGTGTGGGCCATGCCTGCCCCTCAGTGCTCCTCAGTGCCCTTCTGTCACCTCCCAGAGAGGAAGCCCCCACACCTAAGCTACTTTAGACCCTGGGTGTGGCTTCCTGCCCAATCCCTAGCCAGTTAGGTTCAGTCCTGCAGTCATCAGTAACTGAAAGTACTGAGTGTATATTTTGGGTTATGTGCAGAAAGCACATAGCCACATGACTGAAACTCTGAAGTCAGATTTTAAGAATTTTAACCCCCCCCAACTATTGCTTACTAACTATTCTTGTTTCCCTGAAGAAATCAGTTTTAGTCTCCTCATGCCTCTGTTTCTTTATCTGTAAAATGGGGTAATAATGAATGGGGTTCCTTGGGAAGACCCAATGAGTTAATATGTGTCAAAGACTTAGCACAATGCCTAGCACATATAGTATGTACATGGCCATTATCGGTTGGAGTATCAGTTCTTGTGTTAGCATTAAGCACAAAGCTGGGTGCTAGGCTACAGTAGTGAATGAGGTCAGCACTCCCTGCCACTAGGAGAATGCAAGTGATTTGTGCTCGGGAAGGGAGATCAGCATGAATATGGATCCCTGGAGAGCGGTGGTTCTCAACCTTTCTAGTGCTACAACTCCTTAATATAGTTCCTCATGAATGCAAATACTGTGTTTTCCAATGGTGTTAAGCCATCCCCGGGGGTCATGACCCACAGGTTGAGAACTGCTGCTGTAGGGGAAGGGCAGCAAAGGGAGTGGAGGAGGACTGTGGGAGGGCGGTGTCTCAGGAGTTTCACAGTTCTTCCTCTGGCCTCCCAAACCCCAGGGAGAATTGACTGGCAAATGCTTCCAGCTCCCAAAGAGCAGATGGCTTTCTCACCTGACTTTCTTGCCGTCTGTCTCCAGCTCTTCGGAGGCACGTTCTTCCCAGACCTGACTGCCCCGCTCCCACGTACACTGGCCTCAGGGAACCAAGGCTGGGTCAAGAAGAACCCTCAGCTCAGCCACAGTGCTGCCCTTCAGACAACTCCCTGAGCGCTGGCCTTCTGAACCTACCTGAAGAAGGTGCAACCTCACCTAATACCTACAGAATGGGGAGGGGGGTAGACGAACCTAACACTTACCTACCAGAGAGGGAGGGGCTGGTGGGTGGACCTTTGTTGCTCTGTGTGCCCAGGCAACTAGCTGTCACCCCTGTGAGGCCTCTTGCTTTCTGGGGTAACTGAGAGTTACTAGACATAGACCGGACAGACTGGGAGAGAAAGGGAGAGGTCACATCCTTCTCTTCTCCCTGACTGCCTGGGTGTTGGGTGTCAGGTGTCTGCCTTTCCCTTGCAGAGCCCAGTGACTTGGACTTCCTGCATGCCAGCGGGGACTTCACATCCCAGGCAAAGGCAACTGAAGCCTGCCCCCCTGGAGAAAAAAATGTATGGCCCAGGTTTGGTACCCTGAATGCCCACTCCACTCTTGGAGCTAGTGGAGATCTAAGTGAACGATACCTTGATGCCGCCTTCTGTTTCCTCCCCAGGAACAAGACAAGTCCAAGGCTCTTCCCCTGGAGGAGGCTATGACTTCCATCCAGCAACTCTTTCAGCTCAGCGTTGCCATCACTTTCAACTTTCTAGGTACCTGCTTCCCCTCCTCAAGACAGGAGGATGAGGAGATGGGAAGGGCATGGGGTGGGTGGAATTCAGTAGAGAGTGGTTTAGCCAGGAAGTGGTGGTACATGTCTTTAGTCCCAGCACTTGGGAGGCAGAGGCAGGTAGATCTCAGTGATTTTGAGGCCTGTTTGGGGGTGGAGGGGTTAAGCAAGAGGTTTCTCTTGTCTTAGGTAGATAGACCAGATGTGGCATGGTAGTTCAGTGGGGCCAAGGACCCATCCTTACTCTCGTGTTCAGCCAGTCTTAAAACTAGCTCTCTAGTTTTCTGCTAGGGGAACTTGCCCATTCACCCATTCATATATTCATTTATTCAGCAAGTGCTGAACTCTCATCATGAGTCATTCCAGCTCCTGCCCTCCTGTGTATATTCTTGGCAGCTGGGAGGAGAGACATGGTAAGCTAGAGGACCACTCCTTTCCTTTAAGAGCATAACCTTCAAGTTGCCCTTTATAGTGGTACATGAGCCACAAAGTAGGGTTATGGCTATCTGTCATAGAGGAGGCTGAGAAATGTAGTCTTCAGCTGAATGGCCATGTGCTTCCTTGAAAATTCTGTCCCATGTAAACAGTAGAAAATTTTAGAGCATACTCAGCATTCTGTACCTTACTTAAAAAAGAACAGGCTCCTGCCATTTGCAGTGGTCCCCAAATGCATATAAAAGTGAACCTTTATCAAATCTGGGGACTCCACATGACGTGGACATTTGTCCTGGTTCTTCAGTGACTTGGCTCTTGTCTCAAGCCATATAAGGTAGAGCCCAGGATTCCCAATAGCACCTGCTGGGCCTGGTAGTTGGCTGGATGAGCAGCTGGGGTTCATTTGGAGCATATTTACTGCAAGTTCACCATTGCTAGCCCCTACTCTGTCCTGGAGATGTGGTGGTTTTTTACTCTCATGGTAAACTGGCCAGGTACAGTGCCCCATGCCTTTAATCCCAGCACTCGGGAGGCAGAGGCAGGTGGATCTCTATGTGAGTTTGAAGCCAGCCTGGTCTACAGAGCGAGTTCCAGGATAGCCAGGGCTACACAGAGAAACCCTGTCTCGACAAACAAAACCCAAGCAAACAAAAAAGAATTTCAGATGATAGATATTACAAAGGAATGGAACAAGGGGTTGTTTCACTAACTTGGGCAAAGAACAACTTTTCATGTAGGAATATGCTGGAAGGGAGAGCCATGAGCTAATCATGGCTGGCAAAGGCAAGCTACTTTTGTTCCCATCTGGAGAAAGCTCTCCAGCTGAGGGGGAAGGGAGTGCAAAGGTGCTGTGACAGCACTGAGTTTTCTTTGTTAAGGGACAAAAGAGAGGTGACTGGCTGGCTCTTAGCCATCACAGAAAGCATAGAAGGATGAAGTCCGAGAAGTAGCTAGGAGCCAGCTCAGGTAAGGCCTTCTGAACCCAGGAAGAGAGGAAGGCTTTTCTACGTGACACAGGAAGCCACTGGAGCAGGAAGGTTGGTCATGTGATCTGACTTACTCATCCAAAGATCTGTGTGGCTATTTACAGATCACCATGGATTGAGGGGGCCTGAAGGGAAACGTGAGACCAGGCAGGAAGACTTGGCTGAGAACTCAGCAGGATGCGATGAGGGCTTAGCCATGGCTAGAGGCCGCAGTGACCAGAGGAGTGGAGGAATTCAGGTTACCCATGAGCAGGTGGGGTCTTCTGCCCCTCCAGTCTCCTTCCCAAGGACAGAGGACTCAGTGAACCCTGCACAGTGTATTTTCAGGAGGAAGGGAAGCAAGTTTTAATTCTGCTTGCTGAGTGGAATGTGGCTTTTTCCTGGTTGGCTTTTTTAGTGATTTGGAGGGCAGGCTCTTCTCAGAACCCTCTTGCCCATTCCTCCATTCATATATTCATTTATTCAGCAAGTGCTGAGCCTTGTGGCAGAGCACAAAGGCAGCACAAGCTATAATCATATTTTGCATTTATGTAAAATTTTCATCCCATGCGAAATTACTTCTCCGTTCTTGTTCTGCCTGCCTCGAGGATTTTACAGTATAATTGAGGAGACAGGGCTTATTCTTTTGTACCAGCTGTGTCCATAGACAAAGGTTGGTATATTAGGAAAGTGCTAAAAAGAGTTTAAACCCTGAGTGTGGTCTGAAGGTTCTAGAGTAGAAACAATGGGAGGCCTGGTGATAGAGGCAGAACACGGCATCTCTCAAGCAAAAGATGGAAACTGGCAACTTTGAGTCCTGCCTGTACATTTCCTGTCTCCTTAATGCTTGAGAAAAGCAGAGGGCCTGGCTTTGGAGTTTGATGTCAGCCAGGCATTGACTGTCTCTGCTGAGGTTCTTCCTTGCCCCATAAGGCTGGCTAAGCAAGATCACCCGAGCAGTGCAAGTGTACAGTGAGAACCTTCTCTAGCTGACTTAAACCCAAGAGTCTCTGGGGTCGCTTGAGCTGCTGAGCCTCAGGAGAATGGCACTCAGGGAAGCTCCAGAGACCCAGGGCCCCGCTGGTAGTGTCCCAAGGTTGCTGCTGTCAGAATACTTTTCTCAGTCTAAGAGTCACCCTCCTCACAAAGTCTCATTGGTGGGAAGAGCCACAGGCATATGATTGACAGCCCAGGGGAGGAGTTGTTCCCAAAGGACAACCAGAACTATTGGCCAGGTAAGCAAGCACAGCCACCCAATCTCTGGCACCAAACCTCCCTGCCACTGGTCTCTGGCACCAGTGAGCCAGCTGGAGAAGTAATTGCTGCACATTTATCCATGTTCATTTATCCAGAAGAAGTAAAGAGGGACTCTGGGAGGAGATAAGCAACCTGAGGGCCTGGTTGAGGATGTGTAAAGATAGTGGGAAATGTGTTTGTGCTCCATGCTTTCTACAGGGACAGAGAACATGAAGACGGGAAACGACATGGCAGCCTTCTCTTACTTCCAGAAAGCCGCAGACCGAGGCTACAGCAAAGCGCAGTACAATGTGGGCTTGTGTCTTGAGTATGGCAGAGGCACCCCTCGGGACCTCAGTAAGGTACTGTCGCATCCCCAGGTCCAGTGAGCTCAGAAAGTGAGTAGTGAACAGAAGGGGTTAATAGTTTCACTTCTCCTCAATTACAGGAATATACTCCTAACTCAGGAAAAGCCAGCTGTCCTCAATTATAGGAATATACTCCTAACTCAGGGATGGCAGGCATTTTGCCTTTCTTTGTAACTATGCTCTCAGAGCAAATAGGTTAATTTTAAGATAGAAGGTCTACAATGTTGTCATATATAAAATATTTATTTTGTTGAGCTGTATTTGAAAGAAAAGGGGAAAAATTAACTTGCTGTTCTTTTATGTCTACGAGACCTTAACAATGATATATCAGATCTATATCAACAGACAAAGACACTTATGGTATACTGTTACGTCTCTTTCTCTGTATGAGTGTATATTCATACATAAATATAATCTTTAGGGCTGGAGAGATGACTCAGCAGATAAGTGGACTAGCTATTTCAGAGATCTGGGTTCAATTCCCAGTATCCATATGGTGACTCACAACTGCCTGTAACTCCAATTCCAGGGAATCTGACATCCTCTTTGGTCTCCACAAGCACTGCACACATGTGATATACAGACATACATGTGCAGGCAAAACACTCATGCATACAAATAAAAAATATATAATGTATGCTCATGTACACAAACATACATGTGTAAATGTATATACATGGTGTGTGTAACAAATCCATGGGGGGAGGGGACTTGGAAGCATGTGCACTAAAATTTTAATAAAGAATAACCTTAATTGGACATGGTAACATACACCTGTAATCCCATCATCTAGAGGCTAAGGCAGAAGGATTTCTACACATTTGAAGCCAATCTGGGATATATAGGTAATAATAGACTACAGGAACTCTATATAATAAAGATCCATCTCAAAAAGACAATAGCTCAAAGACACAAACAAAAAGCCCTAATGCTCTGTAGGAGGCAGGATTTCTTGGGGTTTTATGTTTGCATTTTGGGTTTTTTAGATTTTGACGTGACATTTACCTGACTAACCTATAATGATTATGTATTTATTTGAATGATTTTTAAATTTTCATTCAAAGAAAGAGGAAAATTACCTGCAGACTGAGTATTTCTCCTGTTGCCCTAGGCTATCCTCTTTTACCACCTGGCAGCCATCCAGGGCCACAGCCTGGCTCAGTACCGCTATGCCCGGTGCCTGTTGCAAAGTTCAGGCTCCTTGTCAGACCCTGAGCGGCAGAGGGCAGTGTCTATGCTGAAGCAGGCAGCAGACTCTGGCTTGAGAGAGGTAAGTGCCACCAGCAGGGTCTATTCTAAATGAGGTATGCAGAGCCTGAAAGTGACTAAGGTGTCTTTTTCTTTTCTCCCTGACAGGCGCAAGCTTTCCTCGGGGTGCTTTTTACCAAGGAGCCACACCTGGATGAGCAGAGAGCTGTGAAATACCTTAGGCTGGCAGCCAAGAATGGGGTACCTATGAGATCTTTAGTCCATGCATATTGGGGATTGAGTTTGATAAGAAAAGGGATTTGGGAACTGTTTCTGAGCTCTGGGCTCATGGTACCTTTTCCAGGAGCCTTGGGCTAGCCAAGCCATGGTTTCCACTGACCCACTGTGTGACCTTGGACAGGGCCACTGGAGTGCTGAGTCTAAGGGAGGTGGTATTGCTCAGCTCAGGTGGAAATACTTGCACTCAGACATTGTGAAGTGTGGCACAGCAGGGCTTCTCTCTACAAACCACCCAGCCTGTTGCTTGTTGCTTGCTGCACATCCAGCCATTCAATGCATACTGGGCCATCTTTTTTTTTTTTTTTTTTTTTTTTTTGAGATGGGGTTTCCCTCTAACAGCCCTGGCTGCCCTGTAATTCACTCTGTAGACCAGGCTGGCCTTGAGCTCACAGAGATCCACCTACCTCTGCCTCTCGAGTGCTGGGATCAAAGGCATGTGCCATCACTGCTTGGCTGGCCATCACTTCTTAATTTGGATCTGTTTCATTCATTGCCTTTAAAACAATGCCCACTTTGACTGTCTGCTACTTCACAGGGTTATTGGGAGTATCAGACCAAGGTGCCAGGTGTGTGAGATCTCTGTAAGCTACACCCATGACTAGTCATTGTGGGGGCCTGGGGAAGTCAGACACATATGAGAGAGGGATACTTGGCTGTCTGACCTGGGCATTGGCACTCAAGTGGCAATCCACAGATAACCTCACTGTGAAATGCCAAGGTGACCTGTGATTCATTGATTCCTGTTGTACCTGGAAGGGTCAGGAGTCCCGAAGGCAATGTGCACAATGTCATTTCCCTGAATAGGACACTACTGCTTCTCTTTGTTCTCTGACCAGCATACTGATAGCATTATTGCATCAGAACACTTAACCTCAGCCACTCTGCACTGCCCATAGTACCTGTAGTCCCTGACAGAAGAGGGCAGCTAGCAGCAGCCAGTAACTCTTCCTCCTCAGGCCTGCTATCCATATGCCGGGTACACCCTGTACACCCTGGGCCTTCTGGCCTGCTAGGGTTAGACCAGCATGCAGATGGGAACCCTGTCACCCGCTGTGGAGGACCGTGTTGGGACATAGCCCTTCCACTCTTCAACCTTTTGGAAACTGGGTTATTTCTGGGGGCTTGTACTGAGTAGTGTGGCAGGGGTAGGGTTTAGTTCTAACATATGCCTGTTGCTATATTCTGCCCTGGCCTGCAGCTCCATATCTACGGTATTTATTATGGACTTTGGCCTTCGTGTCACTTAAGTGGGAACAGAGTATGTAGCAGAAACGTGTGGCACATAAAGGAACAATGGGACCAGAGAAGTCTAAGTAGGTAGTGCTTCTGTGACCCTGTCCCATAGGGGAGGGAACTGAGGCACCTAGGTTGGAAGTCAGGAAGGCTAGCTCTGCAAGCCATGCTCCCAGTGCCTCCTTCTGTCTCACAGAAGAGTGCCACAGAAGAGATGGTCACAGGCAAGGGGCAGAGCCTCTGAAGAAGACACGTTTGTGCTGTGGCTCTGATTCGTAGTCCTCTCAGGTGGGCCTGGCTTTGGGAAATCTCTCTGTACACTGGCCTTTTGCTCTGTCAGAGGCCAAAGCTTGCCTCTAGGGCCGAACCCTTCTGCAGTCCTTTTTCAGTCAGTCTGAGCAAGAGAAGCCTTCATACTGGTGGGGTAGAATCTCCCTAGGCAAAGGATGCTAACTCCTTAGACAAGCAGGGCCTCTAGCATTTCGTGGTTGAGGAGCTTAGAATGCGACAGGCTGCGTGGGTGAAGGCTCGGCATGCCTGCCTGACTCCACCTCACTCCTAGCTAAGCATTCCAGTTCTTCAGTTTGTCTGTGTTCTCCTTTAGGACTCTCAGAGCAGATTCCACTTGGGAATCTGCTATGAGAGGGGCCTTGGTGTTCAGAAGAATCTGGGCGAGGCTGTTAAGTGCTACCAGCAGTCAGCAGCTCTGGGGAATGAACCGGCCCAGGAGAGGCTTCGGACCCTCTTTAACATGGAAACAGCAGGTAATGCAAGCCAAGGCCTGGATCCTTCCAAACTTAGTGCCCTATAACAACAAAGGGTGGTAACCCCAGGTCTCCTTGCTAGTCTGGCCCCAGTGGTAGTTGGAAGCCCAGGTTTCAGAGTGAGGTAGTCTTGTGTTTTGACCTCTGCTGTCACTGAGCTGGGACTCCATGCCTTTCAGCCTTGGTTTCACCTCTGACAGTCAGAGGAACAGTAGAACTTAAGTCCTTAGCTTGTTGTACACTTGAGGAAAATAACGGGCATAGCACAGCCAGTAATGGTGGTGCATGCCAGGAATTGCAACATTTGGGATGCTGAGGCATGCATTCCCAGGTTGGCTTGGGTAACATAGCAAGACACTGCCTTTAAAAATAAAGCATAGCATAGTCTAGCACACAGTAAATATTCAATAAACCAGTAGATGATGGTTGCTGTCATGATTTTTTGGGAGAGCCAATGTCTTGGTGGTGCTACACGCTTTTAATATCAGCACTTAAGGCTCAGGCAAGTGGATCTCTGAGTGTGAGACTAGTATAGTCTACGTAGTGAGTTCTAGGACTATGGAGTGAGACCCTTTCTTAAACAAAGGTCCTGCTAAGAGAACTGTATGAATAAGTATTGCTGTCACCTCTTTTTTTTTTTTTTTAGCCCCAGGGCCCAGCAACCTGGCTATGACAGGACTGAAGTCTTTCTCCAGTCCCTCCCTCTGTAGCTTGAACAACCTGTTGGCAGGTGCCTCAGGCCTCCCTCATGCCTCAAGCACTGGGAACCTTGGCCTCCTCTGCAGAAGTGGCCATCTTGGAGCCAGCCATGGAGCGCCCAACAGGGCTATACCATCCTTGGAAATGAGTCTCGTGAGACTGGGTTTCGGCTAAGGTGAGATTTAAAAAAAAAAAAAAAAAAAAAAAAATACAGCCCTGGCTGGGAAGAGAGTGTACTGGAGGATGGGTGGCAAAAATTGGGTGTAATATCCCTTCCTAGAGTAGCAATTCCAGTTGGTACTCAGATGCCTACCTACTTAAAGTGCATGGCTAATCAGTGACTTTTTGTCCTTTTTCCACTTGATAGCCTCCCAAGTAGCAAAAACAAACAGATTCACTCAGTGACTGCAGAAGCCCCATTTGTCAGTCACCTTTGCCTTTGTTTTTGAGCAATAACTAACCTCTGTTCCTGTGCCTCAGTTTCACTACGCTTACACCATATCATAGTTTCCAACAACCCCTGATGTGTGCATGCCCCTGGTAGTTGGCAAGATTTTATGCGGCATGTAAATCAAGATACTTTAGTAATATGTTTGATCTATAATGCCAAGTATGATGAACAAATTGACCTGCAATTCCTTGACACATATGTACAAAGCTAAGCTTAAAAAAGGAAGAAAAGCAGGGAATCGACTTAAAACAAAGCATCCTGCCAAATGGAGGGCAGATCCAGAAGGTGACAAAAGGGTGGAGGTGTTCCCTTGAGTGGCTGGAGCTTGGGAAGTCCTGAGTGTCACCAACTCCCTTGCCGTGTTCATCTGCAGTGGACTCATGATCATTTTCATCTTTGATGTGGAAGGGAGAGATTGCCTGATGCTTACGTGTGTCTGTTTGAATATTTTTCAGACCTCCACCATAATGATGGCGCCTGAGAAAGAGTTCTCAGAGATATAACAACTTGATTCCCAAAGAAGAGGCCAGTTAGCCGCTCACCTTCCTGGGAACCTTCAGCACTCCCCTCCCCCCCAGCACCATGGACGAGAAGAATGCTGCAATGACCACGGCTCTGGCTCTGCCACTGACCTGTCTGTGTCACCTAGAAGCAGTGACCCAATTTTCAAACATTCTTTTCTCAGTTGTAGTCCAAGGACAGTAACCTGTACCCTCCTGCCTTAAATGGCACAGCCATTTCACTGTAGAAAGGACTTTAGTCTTTGCTTAGGTTCCCAAAGGTAGAGTGGTACCCACAGCTCTGTGACCTTAAGAGTCACCAAGCCACCGGGTATGGTATGAGTGCCTTTAATCCCAGCACTTAGGAGGCAGGGGGATCTCTGTGAATTCAAGGCCAGTCTGGTCTACAAAGTAAGACTACATAGAGACTACATAGAGAAACCCTGTCTCAAAAAACAAAACAAAGAAAGAGACCTGGGTGAGGATCAAAGCTGACATCATGACTCCAGTCAAGTTTGCCAGTTCACACTGTAGTGTCATTTGAAAACGTTATCATCACCCTGCAGGTGTGGAGGTGTCAGTAGAGATTAGGCTCCTGGAGTCAGAGAGGAGAGACCACAAGTCCTTTTGGGGAAAGGTCAGGTAGGAGTGTATAAGTGTTTAATAAAACAGATGGTGGATTATCTCCTCACTCTTGCCCTTGAGTGTGTAGGGGGGAGCCACGAAGATGGGCAGGGGGAGCTGAAAGCTAAGGCTCCATCCTCTTCTCTGAACTCTCCATTAACCAATTTAAAGGGTCTTAAAAGCTCTCCAAGAGCGAGACTTAGAAAAAAAAAATGACTTCTGAGTCAACGCTAATGACTCCAATTACTGAATTTGTGAATAGCTGTTCCCTGGCTTCTGGAAATTAGCCCAAGTTCAATAGCAGAAATGTGGCTGTGGGTAGGGGGTGGGAGGAATGGAGGACCAGCCAGCCCTCCCCCCCACCCCACCCTACCCCGTGACTGTTTCCTTGCCCAGCCAGCATGGGCAGTTCAAAGATGGGAAGGCTTGGGAAAGATAGGTGTACACATTTTCTTCTGCTGCCCACCCCTACCTTTCCTAACAACTGTGTGGTCTTAGCTATGCTGTTCTAGCACCTCCCTTCCCCTGAAGCCCTAGTGCCTCCCCTGCTCCCAGATTTGCCATAAACCCCATCCTCAGCCCTACTGAAAACCTTATATGATGCCTTCCATGCTCCTTGACATGTTTCGGCACTTATAACAGTGTCCCAAACAAGGACTCCATGTTTGGAGTTTGAAGCCTTGCAGTACGTACACTAACTGCTGTGGCAGAAATAAATGAATAAATGAGAAACGTTTCTGTGGTCCAATAAGTTTGGGAAGCATTGCCCTCCCTAGATGCCCCTTTTTATAGATTCACAGTGCATATCAGCAAGATGAACTCCAGGAAGCCTTGCAGTGAGATGGAGGCTGGTCATTGAGGCAGCTGAGCCTTCCTGGGTGCCCTGAGAAATGCTGCCACCAGCATTCTCAGGAGTCTCACTAAGCAGCTTTTAAGTCATTTGTGTCCCCTGAACCCCGCTTGCTTCCCCAACCATGTAGGTCAGACAATGGGTCCAGGTGTCCTGCCATGATTGAGCCATGAGTTTCTCCCTCCCACTCAGTCCCTGCTGAATTAAACACTGAGTGGGTACCCAAGTTGAGGTGGGCTATTTCTAAACTCTCCAGCCTCAGAAAAAAAGAGCCTCTACCTGGTGAGAGCGAAGGGTAGAAGGCCTAAGAGATGTTATCAGGGGCCCCAAACCTGTGTTTGTGCAGTGCAGGCATTGTGGTCTCAATGCAGTCACCGCCAGTCTCAGGGGACAGGCTTTAGGGACAGACCCAAAACTGCCGTGCTTCTTCCATTAAAATTCTATTAATGACTCACCAGTGTCCTAAGAGAAAAATTGTGAGGGGGCAGGGAGGTGGCCCCACAACAGGGCCAGCTTGGCTTGAGTGAGTGTGTGTGTATGTGCATGCTGGGGAATACAGCGTTCCAGGTCTAGCCGTGGTACTGGTTCCTCAGCCATGAGAAGTAAAGCTGTACAGATGCTCTGCTCAGGAAGCCATGATGGTGGGAACACAACCATTCTGACCAGAAGATCATTGTTGCTAATATAGTGCAGGGCACTCAATAGATGCTCAGCAAATCCTTATTCAACACATCCACTCTGCCCAGCAACAAGCCTATACATAGTAAGTGCTTTAAATAATTGTTTTGTAGATGTATGAATGACTATGCCTTTCTCCTCTTTATGATCATTATGCTACTTCTGACACTTTAGAAAACGTTCAAGAAATACAAAATACAGCCAAGTGTGGTGGCTTATATTTGTAATCTTAAAAGGCTGAGACAGGAGAATTGCCTTGAATTCAAGACCTACAGTGAGAGACTCTGACTCAAACAAGTTTACTGAGTGATATTTATATTGCCCTCATAGTATACAGCATTCTTAGGAGGAGCTATAAAACACTGACCTATTTGGCAGGTAAATATGATTTGCCAAGTTCATCCTATGCTAAGCCTCCCTTATCCCCCATCCTGTCTTTTTTGGGAATTTGGTTCCCTCCAGAGTCCCAGGGGTAGCATTGCCATCTCATTCTTGTTTCAGCCAGAGGAGAGGTAGGGTCACTGAGCTGCCAAGCTGAAGTTGGGTGACAGACGGGAAGACTGCCTGTCAATCTCTGAGCTGCCCCCAGGCTGAGTGAACATGCATTGCACTCTTGGTGCTGAAGAACGGCTGACTATTGATTTTAAAAAAAATGTCCCTCTGTGCTTTCCAAATTAAGACGACATTTAACTGAGTGCTTGCTGGCTCGCCTGTGCTCTCTGTCTCCCAGGGGACAGAGCCCATCTTGGTGGAAACTGTTTCAAGTTATGTCCAAAGCTTTAGCTTTGACATCTTGGCTGATGTCAAGAAATTTCAGTAACCTTCCTGTTCAGTACACCCAGTTCTGTCACCATATGTACTGCCTCACTCTGAGCCCATTGCAGGGAGAAGTGCTGGTGTCAGCGTGCTAGGAAGGGATGCGAGGTGCAGGATACGGCACCAGCCCTCACACTACTCCCCTACTCTGACAAAACAGCATTGCCCAGGAGTTGTCTGGGTTCTGCAGGAAGGGCTGAGGACAAACTTAGAGGGCTGCAGTGGTCCTCAATCTTAGTGAAGTCAAAGTCCACTTCAAAAATCTGATAAAGCACTGTTTCAGCCTAAAGGAGAATGCATCCCATCCCTGCTCAGCATGGAGTTTAGCCATTCATTGATCCCGAAGCCCAGACACCATAGGCTAAGATCCTGTGATGGAAGCCAGGTATAGTGGCTAACACACCTGATAACACTACTCAGGATGCTGAAGCAGGAGAATTGCCATGTGTTCAAGTCCATGGCTACATAGTAAGTTCCAAGTTGGTCTAGGTTACACTATTAAACTATCTGAAAGAAAGGAAGGAAATAAAGAAGAGAAAGAGGGAAGAGAGGTCTAGTGAGTGGCTCAGCAGGTAAGATGCTTGCCCCCAAATCTGACAACCTGATATTGATACTTGGAACCAACAAAGTTGAAAGGGAGAATTGACCCCCTACAAGTTGTCCTCTGACCTCCCCTAACATGCCCTGTAGTGTGTGTGCTGCCCATCCACATCCACTCCTGCTAAAGATAATAAATAAAGATTTAAGTGCCTAGGTATGATGGTACATGCCCTTAATCCCTGCAATCAGGAGGCAGAGGCAAACAGATCTCAGTGAAGTCGAGACCAGTCTAGTCTACCAGGCCACAAGGGCTACACAGTGAGACCCTGTTTAAAAACAAACTAAAACCACACTATAATGTAGAATATATTAAATTCCAAATTCCTGTTCCCAGATCCTAGCTTTTCAGAAGACCTGCTGTGTGGCCTTGTGCAAGTCTCCGATTGTTTCATCTTTCCATGTCCTTGGCTATAAAATGAAGAGCTGAGAGCTGGGTGTGACAGTCATGAACTGATAATCCCAGTACTTAGACAGTAGTCAGCAGGATCAAGATTTTAAGGTCATCCTGAACTCTAAGGAAGAGTTGAGACAGTGAAAAGTTCAGACCCTGTATGTGTCTGCAAATAGTTTAGTGTCTCGGAGCCATGCTGCATAGACCCACAGGTCATATATTTCCTTGGGAAACTGATGAGAATTTTGTATCTTCTGCTCAGATAAAAATGTGTACAAAATTCTGTCTGGTATGCAGGGCTTTATACAAAATTCTGTCTGGTATACCTGAGCTTTATAACTAGAGTGATGCAATGGTTTAGTCTGTCTCTGTCTCTCTCTTTTGGTTTGGTTTGGTTTGGTTTTTGTGGAGACAAGGTTTCTCTGTGTAACCTCGACTATTCTGGAACTCACTCTGTAGACCAGGCTGGCCTCAAACTCAAAGACTGGCTTTCCTCTGTCTCCCAAGTGCTGAGATTAAAGGTGTGTGTCACCACTGCCCAGATTGGTTTAGTGTTTCTAATGATGGAGCCTCAGCCACGGTTCCAGTATCCCCAGGTCATCCCCCCACTCCATCTCTCCTCTACCTGCAAATCCACTAATAACTTGTGAGATCAGCATGGTCTAGTTTTGTACTATAGTCTTTAGGCTTTGCTTTTACATAATAGAACTATTCCCCCCCCCCAATGAAGTCCTACCTGGAGAGTCAACATAAATAAAGGGAAACTCTGAAGCATTTGTTTACCCATTTATTCATTCATATATCCACTTAACAAGTATCTCTAGTGTCATCTATGCCAGGCATCTGGCTGGACAAGCTGGAATGTCTGTCTGCTTGGTTTTCACAGCCTCTCTCAGTAGCCTGGAACCCAGCAGCTCTGTGAACCAGCTGGGAAGTCACAGGTTTCCTATGATCACCCTGACCTGGAGTGAGGCATTGAGAGACCCAGGCATTGCCTCTGAAATGCTTAACTTCTGGTCTCATACGGCTCATCTGTAAGATGGACTAACACCGCATTCCCAGTGTGTGCAACTGTCACCAGCCTTCTGTGAGAGCATGGCTGGCCCTGAAGAGGATACGTGAGGCAGACACTATCTTCTGCCTTTAGTGTCCAGGAGAGCACCTCCATATTATCCTAAACTAGCTGTGACTACTTGGAAATTTCCAGGGACAAAAAGCCTTGGGAACATATTAGCTATTTCTTCACTCTTCCCAGCCCTGAAAGTCTAGCTGCTGTCAGTATGGATTTCATAGACCCAGTTCACATACCATCCTCGGGCTTCAATTCCCAGACCCAAACCTGTCAGTAGAGAAAGACTTCTCCAACTGGGGAGCCAGATAAGATGACTTCTGCATCTGAAAGGCCACTCCCTGGAAAGGGGGTCTGGCATTGGGCAGATGCAAGCTCCTTTCAACCCATGCTTGTAAGCAGATAGCCATATAGGCCTGAATGCCTTCTATCTGCAAGTCTTCATCTCAGAAACTTTACCTTTTCTGTTCCGTGGTTGGAGATCTAGTGCCATGGTTGATGGCATGGGCTTTGGTGTTTGGCCAACCTAAACACAAATCCTGGCTCTGCCTCTACTCCCTGCGCACTCCTGGGAAAGACAGGCAACTTTTCCAAGCTTCGTATCTGTGAAATGGGTATAATAATACCACCAGCCTAGCACTGTGGGGAAAATAATCAAATGAA